CTAATAACTAGTTTCTTAATAAATTCTCTCTTTTTCAGTGAAAAAGTTATTCTTTATCATGTACTTGACACAAAAATAGTATTTTAATGAAAATATTTTTCTATCATAATGATACAAAAAATCCAAAAATATAGTATTGCTTGATATTAATCAAACATATCTAAATGTCTGTTAACAATAATATTGCAAATATTTTTGGATTATTAACATTTCTTTTGTATTACTAATTATTTCTTCAATAATATTTAAAAAAACTGAACAATAAACATCTGTGATGATGATAACATACTATTCATTATATATCAGATTAAAAAGTAAATTTAAAAGTTAAAATTAACAACAATTATTATGTTTAGCCAATTGTTTTAATTATATAATTATATTTCATTTGAAGCAAAAAGATTATATATCACTTATATTTTCAAATTTTTCTCAAATTTTATGAAAACATTGGCCAAATTATCCAGCAATACCAGATGAATGCAAATAATTATCAGGAATTACATCATAATTTCTCATCATTATAATCATCAAAACTATTATGAAATTAAATCCTTATGGCTTAATGATAAATATATAATCTAAAAATCTATGTATTGTATTTGCAAAACAGATCAAAGACTCATCAAGTTTTTGGGTGAATTACAATATCTCAAAAATGACTTCAATAAATAATAAATAGAAAACAAAAATATATAAAATTATTATATATCCAGCTTGGCCATATTTTATACCTCAGTCTGTTTTATGAAGAAAAAAGTAATGGCTGTATTTGCATAAAAAAGATATTTAATGAAATAAAATCATCTTGGAAGAAAATTATGCTAATTCTGATTTAAATACTTTGTATATCTGCAAATGAAAAGATTTTGAACACAATCATTATCTCTGATTAATAATGAAATAAATTAGAGTGCTTTTTTAAGTTTATAATAAATTAATTGATATTATTAAATCAAAAGACTTAAAATAATAAAGTTGTTTTATTTGTATTTTATAAATTTCTGATTCAGAATTTCTGATAAACCATTATGATGATAATAAATTACTTTAATTAGTCTTATTGATACGTTGAAGTAATGAAATGACAAATATTTCTACTATTTATTAGTGTAAATAAGTATTCTACATATAAGAAACTTTATCTTTTAGATCAAACATATTTTGGATCAAAATTCATCAAACAAAAATTAGCTTTATATTTATGAATATATTTCATTATCTTTCTAAATACTGTATATGAAACTTGTTAAGACCATTTATTTTTGTCATTTATAAAAATATTCTTAATTTTAAAGCACTACTTAAATTTTTTTCTCAAGTATTTTTAACTAAGTATTTTCCATATGATCTTTTTCTGTTAAATGCCATATTTTCTGTTATAAGATATATGAATACAGTATATTCTTCCAGAAATATTGAAGCATTGTTTTTCATATTTCAATTGAAAAAGCATAGATAATTATTTAGTATGGAATGCTGTATTTACAAATGCAATAAATAATATTTTTAGTAGTGTATATCATGACATTTATTATATAGAAATTTATGATAAACATAAACTGCTCGATTATTTTCAGCTATATAACCCAAAAATTATTTACCAGTTTAGGCTTATGTTTGGCAATTCACTTAGACTTGTTTTGTATGCATGAAATTCACGGTGCATGCAAGATTCATTCAATTTACTGATCTTTTGACAAATCTGGCATATTCTTACTATTCAATAATTTTTTTTATTTGTTGGGATGAATGAATGAATTATGAAGTCATATTCTAACATCTTCAAATGAATTGTCCTTTAGATAAAAAAATTTTTTAAAAGTTAACACAAAAATTGTCATTCAAAAATAATTTTTTAATATATTTCCTCTGTAAGAAGAGATATCATCTTAAAAATAGTTTTTTATGCAATAAGTAGGATTGATAAAATGTTTCTACAAAAATATATTTTATTGTTATAAAAATATATTATTGCAAACAACAAACAATCTTTCATTAGCAATATTCTTTATTGATAGTTATGTAAAATAATAAAAACTACAGTATAATAATTCATTCCATATCAATATTTTTCATTAACTTATTACTTTGAACTATTGCCAAATTTTAGACATTAATTTAAAAGAATATAATAAGGATGACAGGGCTAGTATACTATCTGTATATATACTATACTCTAAATTATCTAGGTGATTGTCAAATTATATATGTGCATAGTTTTTTAAACAACACAAACTTTTTTTTTTTGTTTTTCTTGTATTTTTAAAAGTAAATTAAATTTTACATAATACAAATACAATAAAAGAAATATATGACTAACTAATTAGTCTATACTAAGACTATTATTTTATTGGACAACGGAGTCAACTTATTTATTGCGAGGTTGCAGCTGAAGTTTTCAGTGTGAATACGTGAATGACGAATGTTCAGCACCACCATCCCATAAACCTAGAAGTTTGACAATGACATTTGGAATGTTGAGCATGATTCCACTAATGTTCCAAATGCCATTGTCAAACTTCTAGGTATACAGGAAAATGTGAACGTTCAACGTTCATATTTTCGCATTGAAAACTTCGGCTGCAACCTCGCTTCTAAATTTACTTTTGATTGATTCTGAATTTGGACATTACTAATATAAATATTTTAATTGATTTTAATATAATGGAAAAATGTAATTACTAGTATATATTCAAAGAAAATAGGCCTACAGATTTATTTAAGAAAAAATTTACACTAAAGATAAACAAGTTTTCAAATTCATTAAAATGTAGTCATAATTAATGATTGAATTTCTAATACATAAATTTTAAAATATCATAGATTTCATAAAAACATATATTTGATAGGTATTTTAAACAAAAATATTAATAACTTTTAAGCTAGAAATATTTTCTGATATAAGTATTAATAGTATAAAAAGATATACTTCATGTTTTTAAAATCTGTAATAGTTTATGTCAACATGGATTTTTTTTTATCTTGAATAAATACATTAAATTAAAATGAATAGCCATTCAAACAAATATATTTAATTTCTACATTAAATAAACGAAAACTTATATGAATTTTCTACTTTATCAAAAATTTCATTATCCTATTTAAAATGATTTTTAAGATCATTATACTATATGTAACAATATTTATTAAAGATGTACTGTACATAATGCTATTTTTTAGTTCTATTAAAAGTTAGTACAAGTAATAGTCAATTTCTCATTTATCAAATCACAAACAGTAAGATAATTTTCATATATCAAAGAATAAAAATGTCATTTGCTTGGTCTACCATTAAAACTTATATAAAAAATATGAATAATTTAGTAATAAATCACCATTAATCTAAAATCATGTTTTTCTAATCTTTTCAGTTCAATACATATATATGTAAAAATTAGCAACTGCTTAGTATCAAAACATAATATAATTGTTAAAATATTTAAATATCAAATCTATGTTTAATTATAGCATTCTAGCATTTAAAAACATGTGAAAAATAGCATTAGTTTATGTTCACATAATTAATAGTGTTTCTTAATTCTACACAGTGTAGTTTAAGACATTTCTATTTGATAATACAAACCTAAAAATATATAATAATTTTATAAAATTAAAAAGACAAATTAATCCTTTCAGAATACAGAATTTTATCTGAATATTGTAAAAATTCTTTATTACAAAAAGCTTTTAAAAACATATATTTTCTTATTATTAACATTTCATTATAAATTTATTACCTTGTACCACAATTTTTGTTACTTATTTAAAAAAAATATTTTTGATAAGTACTGTTACTAGCTGATTTACTCATCCCTCTATTGTGAATTATTTCCTATTACAATTAATATAATTAATTTAAATTTATTTTTTATATTATTTATGTTTTATTAAAATGACAAAATGACTAACAAAAGCAGATTTTAAACTCTAAAATTACAGATGAATTATTATTTACAGATAGTATTTACAATCATAAAAAAAACATAGCCAATAGCAATAATAAAATGATTTTTATAAGCTTTTTGCCTTATGTATTAATCATGGGAATAACAATTTATTTTGGTTCAATTTTATGAATCTTTAATTCATGTTTCCTTAAATTGAATATACAGAATACCAAAGCATTATACTAAAAATACTATGAAAATAGAAAAAAAATTATCATCCCTCCTAAAAATAAATAGAATCATTAATATACCAAATATCATTGACATTCGTAAATAAAAATGCAGCAACTGATTTTCATCAAATTTCTACTTTATACATTTTAACTCTATCACTTAAATTCTTATCTATTAATACTAACAATTTACACCAATTACAAATCTGTAAATATAATAATCACTCGATACCGCAGAAAAATATTCTACAACAATCTATTTACAAAATAATTTTTTAATTTTAAATTATATTTGCTAATTAAAAACAAAAATCTAATTCGCCTTAAAAATATTAAACCCACTAAAACAACAGAAAAATTTCATAAAATTGAAACAACAAAACTAAATATTTTTATAATAAAATTAAATATATATATNTTTCCACAATTCTTTTATGATACAATTTTATTTTACTACTAAATAATCTCATTCAGATACTTTATCAATGATAACACAGCACAACACGTCATCAACAAACGTGCATTGTTATAAAAATACGTAATAATTGAAATTGAAAACTTTTTAATTCATTCAAAACTTTACAATTTTTTTCTTTTTTTATTTATTTATTTTTTTTTACAAAACAGTTGAAACTTGTGACCTATATTAGGCTTACTACAAACAAACTCATTTTCTTCATCGCAATTTAAATTTAAAGGAGAAAACAATATCAGGACGCTTTTAATGCGATAAAATATAAAATCCGGCGTTGAATTTATTATAATTTGGCGCCATTAAAGTATTTAAAATGAATAGAATTTAAATGAAAAACTTTCGCTAGGCCTAACCGTACATAATAAGGGGCGTCGCAAGGACAAGTAAGAAATAAGCCCTCACCTGTAAAATTGCACTCGTCAACAGACGAACGATCTTCTTGGAAGATATCTGTAATTAAATTATAAATCATTAAGCTTCTGTTGTTAAGATATCATCGTTTGTTTTAAGCTAAACTTTTCAATTTCTAACTAAATCTCACCCGCCATGTTAGAAAGATCACGAGGAACTCAATACTCTTCATTGATTCGTTAATTCGTTAACATTAAGAACCTCCTCTTTTCTAGAAATTCGTTCTAATGCTTTCGATTATTGGAGCGTGTATAGGAACATTGTTGGAAATTAACCAATGGGCGTGTTATTTATATTGGGCGTGGTTAGAATATTACACTCTTAATGCTGCGAAGTTCAAGGTTTTACTCGCGATCTTTTAAAATGTTGACTTAATTTCGTTTTGCTTTTACTTTGACAATTTTTATTTTAGTTGATAAAATTGGATATTTTAAATAGGAAAAAAAGAATTTTTGTAATATTTTCGCGTATAACCGGTAAGTACGTACTTTTTTTTTCCTTATCCTAAACTTTTTATTTACTTATTTGTTTTTCTAACGCGCAAAATTATTTAAAAATACTTTCACTTTTTATTTTATTTATATAAATTAATATGTTCTAGTTCGTGTTAATGAGCGTTTAATAAGCATTTAAAATTCTTAAATAAATTTAAATCGAATTTCATTTTATTAGTAAAAATCTTAATTTAAAGTCGCTATAAATATTTTTATTAATGGGACATTGTAGTATATAACAGAGCAAAAAATCTATATTTACAGCAGCACTACGTCACGCTTAACATTCCCAAGTAATTATAGCAGAAAGAATACTTCTGTATCCCTGCCAATGCAATGCCACAATTGTTATAGTTTCCGAATTCTACCATTTATTTCTAGTCTACTTTACCTTAATCCCGTAAATGGATAATACAGATTAACGATAACAATTTACAGGAAATTCATTTTATTGCTTATCTCTATGTCAATTGTAACGATATAGGAAGAGCGATCTAAAAAAAATCATTAATTTTGATCAATTTAAATGAATATTCAACTAGTTTCTACACTTTAATTCCTCGTTACTTCACGCTCAATTGAAGTTAGTATTATGAAAAATATGTCATATTTTTCTTTGCAGTCAATCCTCTTCTTAACGAACTTAACGGAAATGAATGATTTAGTAAAAGGAGATGACTCAAGGTGCCCACATGACGTGATGGTTCCATTTCTGGATAAATGAGATGACTCAAGCAAGGGCTAATTCTCCATTTGGGGTGGTCATCTAATTAGAGATGACCAATGACGTCACGCTTCAAACTCGAGTCCTGAATTCTAGAAATATCAATATATTAATTTACCTTAACCTTATGAAAATTCCATGTTTGAAAACCCGTAAAATTGATAACGTATGATTAATGATTAAAATTCTAAAAAATTTTAGTACCGTGTTTAATTGCTTTACAAATGTCATTGCTGCTCGAAACGACTTTTTAACTACAAATTACATATCGATCTTATTTCGTGATCGCTAGTCGATTATAAATCATGAAGGATATATTTCTGTCCTATTTAAAGATAAAATTAGCTCGGATTTTTTTTAGATGACGCTATTGATATACATTTATAATTCGTATCGACAATTCCTCCCTCATACATGATACATCCTAAACTAAACGAATATATATTCGTTTAGTTTAGGATGTATCATGTATGCATCGTTAGTATTTACAATCATAATGAATTCTAAGCGAATATTAGTTATGATAATAAGGGCATGTATCATGTATGTGGACGATAAGTTCACCACTTTGTAGTATTATTTACTGATTAAATCTTAATTAATGTCCGAATTTTATATATCAAAAAAATAATATTTTACGCTAATTGATTTCTTCTACAACCTTGACTATCATTTGTCTTGGAACCAATTTCTGGCCAAAACAAAAATTCTCGTGGGCACAAAGTCGAACATTCATCATAACAAACTTCTCCGGATGAAGTAAACAATCTTCCGGTTCGATTTTCGACCGATCTCTTCTAGGAAGAAAGAAAAAAAAAATTAAAAAAAAAGTGCCACGTTTCTCGAAGATTACTTATATTGTTTTTCTATATGTATAAAGGGCGGGCCCCTTTTTGTATTTAAACCACGGGGTCGGGACTGGTTTTGTTGTCTCCCTTTAGGCGCCCCCTTAGTATCAACTAAGCATTAATCCCCAAAAACTCCACCCAGGGCACATGATACTTGGCACAGGCAACGATAAAAAGATCGATACGAAGCACTATTGATACCGAATGGGGCCGGATAAGGGTGCGTTTTAAGCCCTCAAATCCCGGTTCTGTGGAAGGGATTCATCCCAAAAAATCGACCCTTTTCTATTTTAACCCTCCCTTTGATCACTAAGAATGAATTTCATCTTAAATTTTATATCGTAGCATTTTAATTTCAATTTTTTTTTCTCTTTCTCTTATAGAATGAGTATTCCTGTATGAATATTCAAGGTGAATAATGAAACGAACCAAATAAGAAAAAAATGTTCTGTAGCAAAGAAAGATAATAAAATAAATTCTAATAAAATAAAATGTATTTTTATTGTCTCAAATCATTTAAAACATTCATAAACTTAACGACTTATTGTAGACCTATACAAATTTCTCACTAAACAACTTTAAACAATAATATCGAAGCTGAAAATTATTTTTAAATAAAAATTTAATTTGACCAAATGGAAAGAATTGCATAATATAAAAATGAATGCCTTGTGAATATGTGAAATTAATTGCTAGCTAATTAATAAGCGGTAAAGAAGAGCAAATATGAATGAATAAAAGGAAATGAATAAAAATTGATTTTAAACCAATAACATGAAAAGTATTTTATCAGGCACCACTATAAAAAATATTTTTAATATTACATCATCTAAACTGAACTGCGTAGTCTCACTTAAATATTAATATAATCAATCATCAAAACATTTCAGCCTTATAAAATATTAATTTATATATAATATCTAGTAAATTTATATACATATTCTGTAATTCATATTACAGAAACTGGTGTAGGCTTAAAGCTTAATTACATCAATTTATCTGTAGTTAGGATTAAATATACAGTATAGTTTCTGAAATATAAATTCAAAGATAGTTTTATTCAATAATGATCCCGTTTTTTTATAATAAGGAAAGTACTCCAAGTATCATTGATTGTAAAATATTAACTAAATCGAAAAGAATTATATGTCAAACAAATTTTTATAATTACAATTTTCATTTATTGTTCAACAATCTTTCAAAATTATCAGTAATTTTGAAAGTAAATTAACAAATTTTATTTTAGATGTATTAAAGAAACTACACGTTCGAAACTCCAATAATAACCACCTCTAAACAGTGGGCATTGTTTTTTTTTTTAACAAATTGTATACGGAATAATCTCTGAACAACGGCCAATTTTTATGTTCATTTCAGTGGCCGTTGTCCAGAGGTTTCACTGTACTTATAAAACCTTATTAATTTATTTTTGTACTAATCTAGTTATGGGGATTTTATCTATTTGATCAATAATATATATATATATTATTTTCCTGAAATAAGAAAAACATTAATCTTCAGAATATAATAATTTTATTTTTATTGGAATATTAACCTTGACATAATTAATTGGTTGAATGCGATTAAACAATCGTTTATTGTACACTTCCTCTTATATTTATTATTTTGATAAATGTCAAGATATAGAAATAATTGGAATATAAAATAGAATTTTATAATAATAATTAACTTCCTGGAGTGTTCAATTTTGACTCGTAAAATTCGCATTATACCATCACTAGCTGCTTATTTAGTAATCTTTGGCCACAAGTACTGTACATTGATTTGTTATTTTATAATACTAACTGATTACTGAGAACATACACCTTAATATTGCATTATAACTAAACTGTAAATTATAGAAAAACAAATTCTATTTACTTCCTACAATTCGTTCCAGTTATTTTAATTAATTTTAAATCTAACTTAAGAGAACAGAATTGTAAATTAGAACTATATAAAATTAAAATTTTTATTTGGTATTTAAAGTAAATACACAAAATATAAAGTTTGGAAGTAATTTAAAATTCTGTAAATACTGAAAACAGATGTTATCTAAATTGACCTTATCAGTAAAAATTATAAATATCTGTGAACCTAATTATAATAAGACTAAACAAAACTGTGAAGATAATTTAATGATGTTTAACATTGAACTGATTATAAAATATAAGAAATGATAATTTTTAGATCCTTTTGAACAATTAAAGTATAATATATGAAACCAATTATATATTTCATTCAGCAACTAGGACAGACTCAATGGATTTATGAATCTAATCTTAGACTCTGGTAAGCAATTAGACTTACGCAAATTCGTAAGAACTATGTAGTTAATCAGAGGTAGCTTGATAAAAGTAGAAAAATTAGTGAAAGTTAATATTAAATCTTGATTAGCATAGAATCGGTGAAGAAAATTACTAAAATAACGCAATTCCAGTATTACATCAAGTTATCCATCCTGTAAAAGTACTAAATCCCAGGATTTACTCTACACTCTAACTAAAGATGTAAAATTTACAATTATTAATTACATTCTAATCCCCTGGTTCAATATACTTCACTTAATTGGATTCTATTACAAAGAAAATTTTCTTTTCATGTTCTAAAGATAAATCATACGATTTCAGACAGCCTAATCTCTAATTTATGTCAGGTAGACTTTCAATTTTAGAGGCACCGTTATTTATCACTATATCCTCTACATCTATCTTATTATATCATAACTCTATATGTTATAAAGTAAACAAGAATTGAACTCGTACTGAAATATGAGTTAATTAAAAATTCAGAAATGTTTCCAAGTCGGTTTCTATGCCTGCAGGTTAGAGAATCCAGACTGATTGGTTAAAATATTTAGTTGAATACACATCTAAATTCATCTTTATATATATTGTAAAACGAAATAATAAAAATATGTTTACTTAGTAACTGTAAAGTTGAAAATTTAACATCTGATCTATGAAATGTTAACCATTTCAATTCCAATTTTCTCGCTTATTCGGATAGGAAGATGAAGTGTTTAGGACGTCAACAAGCTAAAGTATTCCAGGAATGT